AGGCCCTACTGTAGATCCGCCCCTGTCTAAGTCTATAATTACTTGTAAGTTAATCAAACTCTATTTTTGTCTAGAACACGTATCGCGAGTTTATAACCATACAGTACATTCCTTGGGACCCATTGTTTAAAAACTTTGACAAACATGCATGATTCTAGATTACAGTATCTCTCTAGTTGCAACTTGCATGTTCCCAGAAGTTTTCTCAAATCTCTTTTGTCCAAGATTCCACGGAATCAACTAAAAGTCTAAAATACGGCACTCTTAATTAGTGTATCTATAAAAACCCAATGCCCTTTTGTTTGATGTAAAAGAACAAGTTTTCCGATGTCAATCACCGGCTTGTGCTTCCGTTTGTTGCCTTTCCATATTATTATTCTCTTCCTTTTGTTTAAACCTGAATATTCTTTTGCTGCAACAAAGCTCAAAAATGATGAAACCTCTTCAGGACAAAATCAACATTTCTTAGTTCACATTGGAGTGATACTTGATCTGAATTCTCCCATTGGAACCATGACGGATTTATGCATAAAAATGGCCCTCTCGGATTTTTATTCGGACGTAGGTTTAATATCTTGTTCTAACGACTTACGCACCAAGGATGCCGAGAGTCTGCTGGATACTAATTTTGCAGGTATTTATTAATCCAGCTTCAAACTCAAATTATATGAATGATAAATTTTCCATTGCTTAATTTCATTATTTGTACGTCATCTTGATGTGTTTTTTTTTTAAAAAGAAAACTTTAATTGCTTCAGAAGAATTGCATTAACTTTAATTTGAATGATATGACATTAACTATGAAAACTCTCGTGCACGATAATAAGTGCTTTTTAATTTCACCCATATTAGTATGTATCACTTCAGTAATAAATTATGTTCCATATGTTTCAAAAAAGGAAAAAAAGTGTCTTCCATGATATTCCTTAATGCCTGAGATTAGAGGGTTGTTTGACAAAGTTCATGATAAAATTTTTAGTAGATTTTGATAAAAATTGATGAAATGTGTGATTAAAAAGTTGATAAAAGTTATGAATTCCATAAAATATATAATTAAAAATAATTATTGTGTGTGGGTATTTATTTATTTTTACAGAAGTTTCTACTTTGAAGGGTAACAAACTTCTTCCATTTGATATGATTTTTGAAAAGATAAAGATTAATTTTAAAATTGGGAAATTTATAAAATTGATTTAGTTGATATCTTTTTCATTTTTTTGTTAGTTTTCTATCAACTGTATAGGACATTGACCAAGACTTCAATGACAACTAGGAAGGGCAAAACTCGACCGAACCAGCCCAAACCTCCAAACCGAACCAACCAGATCGATTTGAGTTGATTTTTTTTTTTTTTTTACACGGGTTGGGTGGGTTGGCCATGTAGGCTGGTTGAATTGGATCGCGTTATGGGTTAACTCATGAAAACCGAATAAACCCGCCCAACCCGACCCACCTACTTTAAAATAATAATAATAAAATAAAATAATTAAAAAGTAAAAGGAATCTAAAAAGTATGTGTGGATAGTGTAACTCTAATTAGCTTGGTGCACTTTAGAAAATGAGTTTCCTCTCCTTTCCACAAGAAATGTAATATGACTTTTCCATGTTATTTTAAATACATTTTGTTCTTTGTAGACTCGGCTAATATGGATTGAATAAGATAATAAATAAATTAATATATAATTTTCGAGTTTCACAAAAATAACAAAAAACAAATTTAATGAATATCTTGTTTCTTTGATTTATCAATTTATTAATTACGATTTTATTCTTTAATATTTTCTGACTATTTTTCTGTAATTCATAAAAGCACCTATTTTAATTTTTCAATTCGAAAACTACCTATTCATTCTTTTACGTGAATGGAAAGGTTATGGATGCATTCTGCATAAAAGGTAACAATAAAATTTTGAAGCTAGCTTAGGACACTACCTCACTCACATTCAAGTAGCCTAGAATAATTTGAAATAGGATTATGCTTCTTGTACATCATCCCTTACACAAGGTGTGACATAATAGTCAAGTGACGTCTTCTCATTGGAGGGACGCCGATGCCCCACATGTGGGCCGAGGCACCCCTCCAATGAGGAGGCACCACTTGGCCATTATGTCACCCCTTGTGTAAGGGGTGATGTACCCCTAACAAGACCATTTGAAATAATGTATATACGTTACAAAATATATATCCCCTATCCTTCTGGAAGCTTGAAGATAAAACATAATGTTTCGATATGTAATGCAGTTCTTGAATTACTTAAGCATGAAGAAGTGCATGGAATCTTAGGGACACAGGTCGCAACAGAAGACAAATTCCTCGCAGAGCTAGGTGGGAAAGTTCGTGTGCCAGTTATTTCTTTCACCGCAAGAAGTTCAACTCTTCCCTATTCACAAAACCGCTACTTTATTAGGACTACTCCAGATGATATGTATCAAGCTCAAGCTCTCGCAGCCATTTTCCAAGAATTTCAATGGTCTGAAGTAGTGATTTTGTACGAAGACACGGAATATGGCAATCAATTTCTTTCACATCTGAATAAGGCATTCCAAAAAATTGATATTGGGATAGCATATATGAGTGCCATCACTATATCATCACAGGATAGTCGAATATTAGAAGAACTCAAAAAGCTTATGGCAAAGCAAACGAGGGTATTCTTGGTGCACATGAATCCAACACTTGGTTACCAGCTATTTTCTCTTGCCAAAAAGGCAGGAATGATGAGTGAAGGGTATGCTTGGATTATTACTGATTATTTATCCGACTTCTTAAGTTCCAAGGATTTTGTAGCCCGTGATTCAATGGAAGGTGTTTTGGGTATAAGGCCGTATGTATCCAGGTCGAAAAAGCTTGACAGTTTCCAAGAAAGGTGGAAAAGGATTATGGTTCTGAAGAGTAGGACGGGTTCAGTTAGGGACATAAATATCTATGGTTTGTGGTTGTACGACACAATATTCTCCTTAGCAATATCAGCAGAAAAGATTGTGCCAGTGAATTCTAGCTTATTGTATGTGAACACCAGCAAAAATGGAACAGATACTACAAACTTAAAAATCTCAGCATTTGGACCAAGACTTCTCAACGAATTGTCACACACAAAATTCAGAGGCTTGAGTGGAGAATTTCAATTGATTAATGGGCAACTGAAACCTCCAGCCTTTGAGATATTTAATGTAATTGGAAATGGAGAGAGAACAGTGGGATTTTGGACAGTGGATAAAGGAATATCCAGAGAATTAAGTTCAACTGGTGTTCCAACACACTCCTCATCCACAAAAAGTCTCAAAAAAGCCATGTGGCCTGGAGATTCAGTCACACATCCAAAGGGCTGGGCCCTTCCTGCAACAGGAAAACTGAGAGTTGGGGTTCCCGTGAAACATGGATTCATAGAATTTGTAAATGTAAAAATAGATGCTGCCGCAAATCGTACAAATGCAACTGGTTTTTCGATTGATATCTTCTTGGCAGCATTGCAGTTGCTACCTTTCCCTACAAAATATGAATTTTATCCTTATAATGTCAGCGAAAATTGTAACTCGAGTTATGACGACATGCTTCATGAGATACCTCAGGTACTTCAGTCTTCATCTCATTATTCAATTATCAATGTTAATCATAGCTCCAATAAAACTTCATGCTTAAAAATAATAATTATATCACCGTTTTTTTTTTTTAAATAGGCATTTGACATTGTGGTGGGAGATACAACAATTTGGGCTCCACGAGCTGATCATGTTGATTTTTCGTTACCATATTCTGAACGAGGAATCGTTCTAGTGGTCAAAAATAAGAAGCCATTTGACACGTGGATTTTTGTTAAGCCTTTGCGGTGGGACCTTTGGCTGACGATCATTGCCGCCTGCATTTTGATGGGAATAGTGCTTCGAATATTGGAACACAGAGTACCAAACACAAATGAAGAGTCAGTTAGGCCACACAGGGAGAGACTTCTAACGACTTACTGGTCTCCAATAATAGCTCTTGCATTTCCTGAAAGTAATTTTTAAATTATGCTTAGTTTTATAATTTACTATGTGCCTGGAACCATTAGTTCCTGTGTCTGTGTCAAGTGGACAACTGACAATCTGTGCCCTACAAGCCGAGTAATAGCTAGCCAAACTACTGAATATTTGCTCGACACGTGAACAGTACTTACAAAATTTTCAATCAATGCTTTGAAAAATAAGCTTACATCAGACTTTTTTTATTACTCTTGACAGGGAATATGGTGGCTAATACCTGGTCAATAATTGTATTGGTATTTTGGTTGTTTATGGCATTCATCCTCATGCAGAGCTACACAGCAAACTTATCAGCTATTCTGACAGTAGATCAATTAAATTTTGTTTTATCTGAGGAAATTTATGTGGGATATCAGGAGGGTTCCTTTATGAAATTTTTTTTGAAAGAGCGACTACACATAAACGAATCAAGGCTCAAAAAATATTCAACAGTTGAAGAGTACCATGATGGAATGACTAGAGGAAGCCAACGAGGAGGCATAGATGCCATATTTGATGAGATTCCTTACATGAAGATTTTCCTCAAGAAATACGATAGAGTCATGTTTTATCAACCTGGTTCATACAGGACGGATGGATTTGGTTTCGTAAGTTTTCTTGTTCTCTATCTTATACACAATCGTTTCCTTACTTTTATAAATTCAATAGAATAAGAATTTGGAAGATATCAACTCACATAAGGTACAACTAAAGTCTAAATTCAAAATTGGAGCAGTTGTAGGGTTCAACTACAAAAATCAATGTACTATCTACGCAAGAGAGAGAAAGCTGTGTCATAATTGCAATCATATTTGAAATAGTGGCTGACGGAAACTCTAAGATTCGGGCATGCACCATGTTTAATTTACTCCTTTTATGCCACAATTTAATAGCACGATTAAACATAGTTTTATTTTCTTTGGTACAGTTTCAGATCCTGAAAAGCTTTATGATAAAATTAAAATGTCTGGAGAAACATTTTTCAACCTACGTTTTGACAAAATATCAATTAGCTATCTGATGAATACACTATTTTCAGATGACCACCCGAATAACCTGAATCATTTTAGGACAAACAAACCTCCTTAACATCAAAATAACTGATTAAGTCTGACATAAAACTATGCAATTCCTCGTGCTGTATATTTTCGTTTCCAATGAAGTTTTTTATGATTTTAATTATTATGCATCACTATTCAGGCATTTCCTATTGGCTCTCCCTTAACTGCGCATTTCTCAAAGGCCATCTTAGCCGTTACTCAAGGTCCAAACATGACATCTATTGAGCAAACAAATTTCGGACCTGGATACTCTTCTCAAGATCCACTTCCCTCAACAATCTCCCAACGGACTTCTAGTCTTACTTTTTATGACTTCGGAGGGCTCTTCATTATTGTAGGGTCAGTTACCCTGTTTGCTCTATTCTGTTCAGAGACATTAGTTGGGCGAAAACTTACTTCCCTAACTGCCCAGTATAGCCAAAAGTGCTTATGCTTTATGTCATCAAAATTTCATTCAACGCGGAAAGATGCAGAAGAAATTCATGCATCTATCCCAGATAGCGGTGCTACTTCTAGTGAAGGTTGAGATGCAACTGTCTTTGGAGGAAACCCAAGTGGAAGCGAGGGAGAAATTTGTGATCCTGGCCAGAACAATGAGGGTGCTTCTGCTGAAGATCAAGATGTAAAAACTGACAACACTGAAGAGAGGAACTCCATGGCACATAAGCGATTTAAGTTATTTTTTGCTATTTATGGTAATATTTCGGTTTCCTCTTTGACATAGAATAATTGCTCGATTTGAGCCGAATTTTGGTGATATTGTTTCTTTTATTAAGTATTTTATTTTGGTATGAATATTAGGATTTTGCTATTTTTGGCAAAATTCCGATTATTATTATTTTCTGGCTATTTAACCCGGCTTGTGGGTTATTTTCATTCAGTTGTTGAATAATAAAGAATTTTCTCGTTTTTCTTTGTGTTTCNTTTCTCTACCAGTATCACTGCAATTGCTCCATTAAACTGGTCCATAAATTCTGCTTCTTAAATGCTGAACTAACGCAACGCAAAACAATGAATTGAGTGAAAACCTCAAAAATACAATTTTTGGAATCCGCCAAATTATGAAAGATAAAATCACGAAGTTTTATTAATGGCAAGATGATATAAAACGAAGAATTAACCCCTTTTTTTTATGAGGATTTACGTGAAGACCTACTTTAAAGGAACTAAATTTGAAAAGAATTCGAAATAAACTAAACGACAAAAATAGCACTAAAACTTCAAATGCAGTTTTTGAGTCCTAAACGAACTCGGATGGCTAAAATCCATCATATGTCATAGCAAAATGGTGAGTTCTGTCCGGCTCGTTGTCTCTTTCCAAAAAGATATTGTGGGCGCAAATTGAAGCTCGAACGCCAAAATTTACTATTTTTACTTTTTTGATCCAACTGTTGTTCAATCCACGCAGCCATATGTTCTACATCATGAACATGTGTCTCCAGTGCCTTTCCTTATTTCTGTTGGTTTCATTATTTGGTAGCCATTATGTTGATTGTAAATAGATATAGTTGACTACAAACGCTTATAAAATATGTAAAAATTTTCAATAGAAGATCAACCATGCTAGAATTACAGAAAAAAACTTACAGAACATTTACCGACACTCAGAAGGTAGGGGGTGTGGGTGGTTATTTTTTTATTCACGTAGGGCCCATCCATGTGAGAGTCTGTTAAACTTCTTGCAAATGAATAGTTCTGGCAATCCAGCTTAATTCATAGAAGATATAAAATACTGGATCATTTTTTCATATAATATCAGAGAATATTGTCTTCCGCCGAGTCAGACACATTCCCGTCATGTCTCTTCCTCTGCAATTTTCATATTCAAGAAAGATTATTTCACTTGCTCCTTTTTTATCTGGAAATGCGACTGCCGTTATAAAAAAATCTAAAGATGCCAATACAAACATAAACACCAATACCCCTGCCCATTTCCATCATTCACAGAATATTGGTTTTGTTCGTCTCTCAAATCTTAACAGTTTAAAATTATTCCACTTGGAGCAGAGCTATGATTGTGGCTATTAGTGTCAAGAACAAGATTGGTTTCATTGATGGCTCAATTAAGAAACCAAAGTCATCCAATTGGATTATAGCTAGTTAGTTCATTTTTATCAATCTTGTATTACGTGGTCCTAATTTCTCACAAGTTTTCAATTGAGACAAATTAGAAGGCGTGACATTTCTATTTTAAGCTTCCTAATTTTTTAGTGAAAACCATTCACTTGGGATTGAACTATTATAATCTATAAAATAGACATTGTCAAAAAGAGCATCTAAGAGCTCATCTATTAGAGATTTTGTTCCTTGTAAAAGAGATTCTTGGGTAAGCTCTCTCGGTCAATTTCTTTTAATAGCTCTTCTTACCAAATAAAAAACTTTTCGAAAAATATCCAAATATGTTCAAAAATAACTTTTGACTTTTCAAAATCATTGTCAAACCAATTCTGTAATAGATAAGAGTCTCTCTCTCTCTCTCTCTCTCTCTCTCTCTCTCTCTCTCTCTCTCTCACACACACACACACACATAGTTCTTGATTTTCACATAAATTTTCTTTTCCCTTCCTTTTGATTTTATTTATTTTGTTTTATAGTTTATGAATTACATATAAACAATATTTTTTTTGAAAAACTTTGTTTTAAAGAGTCATTTTTTGAGGAATGTGTGGTAAAAATTAGAGAAACGTTTTAAGTTTATGTATAGTTTTAAACAATTCAAAGAACGGAAAAAGAAAAATGGAGGCTAGGGTTTCATTAATTATGCATAATGAAAAGTGAATACAAAACCTAAATATAAAGAGACTATATATAGTCTAAAATAAGGAAACTAAAAAGATTATTATACCCTTAATAAACAATAAAATAAAATAAGACTATATTTGTTCATCGAACCGAATGAACACCCATGTCTGCAAGTAACCAACACAACCACTCAATCTCAACAAATCCAAACGGACGCAAATTTCAAATCCAAATATACCAAATCAAAAACAAACCAAAATTTCAATCCCATCAATTGGGCCAAACTGCAAACCAAATTTCCAATCCCACGAACTGGGCCAAACTGCAAACCAAATTTTCAATCTCATCAACTAGGCCAAATAAGCAAAACAAATTCTAGATTACTTACAAACTGCAAACCAAATTTCCAATCCCATCAATTGGGCCAAATTTTCAATCCCATCAACTTGGCAAATATGCAAAACAAATTCCATATTACCTACAAACTGCAAACCAAATTTCCAATCCCATCAATTGGGCCAAATTTTCAATCCTATCAACTGGGCCAAATATGCAAAACAAATTCCAGATTACCTACAAACTGCAAACCAAATTTCCAAATGAACTAAACCAAATTCTAGATGAACTGGATATATACTAAACTAAATTCCAGATGAACTGGACATACTAAACCAAATTCCAAATAACTGGACCAAGTTCCAGATTACCAAAAGCTGAAGAAACTCCAAACAAATTGCAGAAACTGAGTTTTGGCTATGGGAATGCGAGGTGATGTGACTTATAAAAAAAGAAAAACAACATTGGGAGCCAGACGAGCGGCTCAAGGCTGTTCGCCGGAAACGAAATTCAAAAGTTAATTTATTTAGGATCAAAACTGTTCTAATACCATGTTAAACAATTCAAAGAAAAGAAAAAGAAAAATGGAGGCTAGGGTTTCATTAATTATGCATAATGAAAAGTGAATACAAAACCTAAATATAAAGAGACTATATATAGTCTAAAATAAAGGAAACTAAAAAGACTATTTTACCCTTAATAAACAATAAAACAAAATAAGACTCTATTTGTTAACATATAGAATATTTTATTGTGTGAATATAATTGAAAATGAGTATTGAAAAAAAAAGTTTTAAAATAATATGGTGAACTCTTGGATTCTCATTCAATCTCGAAGGATATACGAAGCAATGTAATATATTCAATGTCTGAAATATGGTCATAAGGAACGTTACTCTCAATGCAATTGCCTTGTTGCAATATTATGTTGCAGGTGAATTGTATTATATACGAGTAATATAAAATGAGTAGTGTTAAACTCAAAATGACTAATTATCTACTTATTAACATTAATAAAAACTAGCTCTTATTCGAAATAAACAATTAATTATTTGAATTTGATTTTAATTATATCTAATTATCAACTAAAAATAAGCAATTAAAAATAAGTAAACAAGTTTCGGAATTTTATAAGTCATGGGATCCTGAATTCACCATCGTTAACTTACTTTAATCCTCAGAACCCGAATTCACCTTTGTTTAGAGGCATATCTACTATGACCACAACTACTAAACTTGTAGCATGTGATTGCTGCTCGCAAAATAGAATGGTGTTAAACTGTTTCCATGGTAAAATTATAGTGATTTGAGCTGAAGAAGTGGTTACACATGCCTTTAGTGTCTCAAAATTTAGGTGTTTAGAATATTGATGAAAAAGAGATGAAGGGGAGACGTGGTTTAATTTCAGTGTCTAGTTTTCAAAGTATTGTGTTTATTTTCCCTTTGACTCGTCAATAGGGGGCATATATCCAGCACTTGGCGAGCCGACGCGGCCTCCCATGTTGGATCTATTGAAAAAAATGATCAATAAAGGTTTATGTTATAGATGTGTGTGTGTGTACCTAATTCAACCGATCGTATTGATGGAATTCACTTTTGCACTTGAGGAACCCATGCGAGATACACGGGTTCGATCCTTCAATGGCACTCCTTTTTATTTTTAAACATAGTAAATAATAAATAAATATTTACCAATAGAAATGTGCTACAAGTACAAGGGCCTTTTCACATGCCACTGCCAAGCACCTGACATAGGAGGGAGAGCCATTTTATTTTTATTTTTATACATTGGGGTGGGGCCCGGCTACAGTGAGGGGCCGGTAATGCCCCTGTGAAAAAAAGCCTCTGTACTTGGGGAATTGCTCTTACCAATAATTGTATCTTTCAACAAAAGGGAATGTAGCTCATATGATAGAGATGCCACTTTGTATGTGAGAGGTATTTCACGCACTTTCACTTTTTTTTTTGTTTTATTTTTTAATACAATAAATAATAACTAAACAATTATATATTATTAGTTTTCATTTTCCAAATAATTTCTTTAAAAAAATTATTTACTCAAATTATTACTTCATAATATATGAATTCTTATTGTTAGATTTTATTAATTTATTTTATAAAATTCAAATTTGGACTATCTAAGTGCCTCTCTTTACTCTTTTTAAGTGTTCACAAAGCACTTTTTTCTTTTGAGGTAAGAAATAGTTGCAATTCTAAAAATCATTGCTTTCAAAATGTTGCATAATGTCGTCTAAAGTCGGAGTTTGCCTTTACCTTTTAATCATGCTTTACGTATAAACTTTATTTGTTACTTAAGTTCGTAAAAAACTTGAAACTTGATCATACATGTATTATTGAAAAATGTCATTTTTTCTTATTATTTTGGATATTGGATTATATTTGCAAATGTATATGAATTTTACGTTTAGTGTATTTATATATTGATTG